CACCACCACCAGAGCCAGCACCACCAAAAGTAACACGGCCCGTCCCAGGCTCTCCAGGTCCAGTAGAGGGTGCACCCCTAGTCGTAGCACCCCCAGGGACAGCTCCACTAACATCAGCTCCCCGAAGACTAGAATCTCCTGCAGGCACGGGCTGAGCTCCAACTTTAGCAACCCCAGAACCAAGACCTCGCACAGGTACGCTCTCTGCTCCAACTCCAGCACCTCTAGAGCTAGCACCTCCAGGGCCCTCGCCACGAAAACCGGCTCCCACAGGGTCTGCTGTAGGCTGGGAGGAGGACTGCGGAGAAGAAGGCTGCACGTGAGGGGCTACCGAGGGGGGAGGGGTAGCGTGGGACACACCTAACGGGTCGGGACCAGGGGGGGAAGGCTGTACTGGGTGAGCAGGAGGGAGAGCTGAAGTCAGGAAGAGAGGGGGAGGAGGAACAGGGAGACCTCGACAGGAGTACCGGGTGAAGTAGGGGACTGACTCGACAAAACGAACGTCGCGGGAGTCAAAGAAACGGTGAAGGGGAGGGTGGTAAAGGTGAAGTCAGAGGAGTCCACGGAAGGGCGCGAAACCAAGGAAGACACAGGGAAGGGCGCGAGGGGAGAGCTTATCCGCGGAGGTGTCGCGAACAAGCGCCAAGCAGCCCCAGACACGAAAACGCGACGCAGCACCATGGGACCCGCTCCAAAGACTGGACGGTGAAGCCTCTGGCCGAGAGACACGTGACCAGAGGTTCAGCTGGTGAGCGGCGTACCGAACCGCGTAGGGCCACAGAAAATGGGGCGCACGGGCGTGGATCATGGAGGTGCGTGCAATCTCCGTGACCAAGCCTATGCGGCGCTCAGCAACCCAATTTTGCTGTGGGACTCTGGAACCGTCCACGACTGGCGGATGCCCTGCTCGCGACAGAATCCAGTGAAAATGCCGGTGCAAAACTCACCCCCGCGGTCGGAGTGAAGATAGCTGACACGACGACCACGAGTGTCCGCAGTGGTCAGTAACCACCAGATCAGCGTAGAGGAAACACTATGGTATAGCGAGAGTAGTCGTCAACGACCACCAGAAAGAAACTCTCTTGCTCATGGCCAGGGCGAGGGGCGGGGCCCCTGACGTCTAAGTGGAGAGACTTGAAGGGCTCGGTGGCCGGACGAAGGGAGGAGGAGTGAGGGGTGGCGCGCAGCCAACCCTCGATGCAGGGACCGCAAGGTGGTGCAAGCGAAGGCGGCAGCGACGGCAAGACTTGCGGGAGGTCTAAGACAAGACGCTTACTAGACATAGTGCGCAGGCGAGGAATGGATGAGTGCCCCATCCGGTGGTGCCAAAGAACGGTGGGGTGGGCAAGTCACCGGCAGGAGCACGACGCAGCAACTAGACTAGACACTGGAACCTGACTAGACACAGCTACCTGGGGAGACGCGGCAATCTGGTGAGACGCGGGAACCTGACAGGGGGTAGTGACAGGGGTCGGAGGCAGTAACTAATGCTGCTGCTCTCGAAGGCCAGTATGAAGAGTGTAGAGACCAGAGCCTGGCTCAGCGGCAAAGGTGGCGAGAGGTGCGTACGTGTCCCCGTCGACACAAACCGCAGTCTCGCCAGAAGGCTCAATCCACACACCCACGTGCTGACTCACGAGCGGCCTCACGCCCACCAAGTTCCTCTTTAACGAGGGGACGTGGAAGCCGGTCAGAGAATCGGAGGGAACAGCCGAGCACGGAAGCATAGTAGTGTAGCTAGCAGTGACTGGTCCCAAAGTGGGATCAGCCAGTGTTACAGAGACCGGCGCAGGAAGCGGGGTAAGTGTCATGCAATCGCGGAAGAAACAGTGCAAAGCTCCGTAGTCCAGAGTGAAAGTCAGCGAAGCGTCCTCCAGAGCAGCTCCTGGACTAGTGTCTACACAAGTACCTACACTAGCAATAGGCACCTTAGCAAGACTAGCACCTAAGCTAACAACATTCGTGTAAACAGAGTCAGAAGCACTAGAGTCAACAACAGCATACATAGCATGAGGAAGTCCTAACAGATCAACCAGCTGAGAAGCCAACATGCCCCACAGAGTGGGGCCGTACGTCTGAACAAGGGGAAACCAGTCAGGGGCAGGGCCGTCAACGCCGTAGGCCAATCGAACCGTGTTAGTAAGCTGGGCAAAGCACTGACCCGGTGGGTGGCTGCGGCCACAAGGCTGGCCGCGGCGGGCACCTGTTAGAACGTGATAGGTGCAGGGAGGGTGGACGACACCGCGCTGCAGCTGACGCTGTCCTGACCCCTGGCCCGAAACCTGCTGCTGCCCCTGCTGACGCTGTGGGTGCTGCGAGGGGAGGGGCTGCTGCTGGTGTCGCTGAGTCAGGTACCACGCCACTGCTCCACCCCCTACGGCTGGCACACAAGTAGGTGGCTGACAAACCCGGGCGTCACCTCCACCAGCTGCAGAAGGGGAGTCACCAGCAGCTGCACGAGGCGCTCCTCCAGCCCTTGCACTCCCGCCGCCATCGCTCGCCACGTCACCCCCACCGCCTCCGCCCGCACCCTGACTGCCCCTCCTGCCACTCCTACCCCGAGACTGCGAAGAAGTCATAACAGCAGCTGCGGCCATGTCAGTAGTGGCAGTGGCGAGGGAGGCAGTAAAGGTGGGCAGCTGAGGGACAGTGCACCCGTGAAACAGTGGAGGGGGCACATCACCAGAGGCAGAGGCTACCGAGCGGAGGTTTCTCTCGACGTCCTTGAGAGCAGACTCAAGGACGCCGATAGTGAGCTCGCTCGGATGCTTCAGAAGAAGTGCGTCACGAACCGAAGCAAGGCGGTCAGGGAGGCTAGTGGCGATGAAATAGATAGTGATCGGCATGGGAGGAGGGAGCAGTGCAAGCTATGCGCTAGTGCACGCAGCGTGAAAGCTAGAGTCTAATGAGCGCAAGTGAGCGATCAGGTCAGCAGAGCGCTCAAACGAGGCGAGGTCAGGAAACAGGAACGGGAGGAACAGGCGACCAAAAGACAGTGGAAGGAGTAGCATAGCGGGCCTTGATCGCAGTCAGGAACTCACTAGCCATGCGAACCTGTGCGAAATGGGTCTCCTCGGACTCAGGGAGGAGGCTGCTGAGGGCGATGCAAGCCGCAACGTCGCGCGATCGCCAGGCAATCAGGTCGGCACGCTGACGTGCAACACGCTCTCTGTCCTCAGGGGTAGCGTCAAGTCCTAGGGTATCAGGATCGAGGGGCGCAGGGAGGTCACCGGATGCATGCGCTCATAGAGACTCATTTGCATGCACCTGACTCTCTAGGAGACGCTGCGCTCGTTGGAGCCAGAGAACTCGAGGGGCCTACCCTCGGCGTCAAAGCGATGGACCCTAGGGGTCGCCATAGCGAAAGCAGAAACTACAACGCTGGCAGGGCGCAGTGGCAGGTGAGGGCAGGGCGACATGCGGTTGGGCGAGAGGCGCGTGGGCAAAAGTAGGCACGCGGCGGACGCTAGAGGGACGCGAAGGGTCGGCACGGCAAGCTCTAAGGGCAGGCTCGCAACGAGCGCAAAGGGAAGACGCTGCAAGCGCAAAAACGCAGGCTCGCGGCGGGTTCAAAGGGCAAGCTCGGCGGGCGGCACGGGCAGGCACAGCGGGCAGGTAGGGCAGGCCCGCGGCAGGCTCTAAGGGCAGGCACGGCGGGCAGGTAGGGCAGGGCCGCGGCAGGCTCTAAGGGCAGGCACGGCGGGCACATAGGGCAGGGCCGCGGCAGGCTCTTAGGGCAGGCACGACAGGTGGCACGGGCAGGCGCGGCGAGTGTCACGGGGAGAGACGGCGGGCAGCGAGTGCAGGTCTGCAGCGGGTGCAAAGCGCAGGCACGGCGGGCGCAAGGGGAGGGCCCGCGGCGGGCGTAGCGGACAGGTGCGGGAGGGGCGAACGGGCGGGCCCGTGATGGGCCGAACGGGTAGGCGCGGCGGTGCGAAGGCAGGGCCCGCGGCGGGCCTAACGGGCGGGCGCGACAGCAGGCGTAACGGGCAGGCGCGGCGATGCGAAGACAGGGCCCGCGGCGGGCCTAACGAGCAGGCGCAGCGGCGGGTTTAACGGGCAGGCGCGGCGGCGCGAAGGGAGGGCCCGCGGCGGGCCTAACGGGCAGGCGCGTTGGCGCTAAGGGCAGACGCGGCGGCGTTAAGGGCAGGCGCGCGACGAGCGCTAAGGGTAGGCCCGCTGGCGGGCGTTAAGGGCAGGCGCGGCGGGCGCTAAGGGCAGACGCGGCGGGCGCGAAGGACAGACGCGCGGCGGGCGCTAAGGGCAGGCCCGATGGCGAGCGCTTAGGGCAGGCGCGGTGGGCGCTTAGGGCAGGCGTGCGACGGGACGAGGAACGGGACGGGACGGGCGCGAGAACGGGCAGAACGCGCTGCAGCAAGCGCGATTGCAGGCGCGCAGCGGACGGGCGTACGAAAGGGGCGCTACTGCAGCGCTACGAGACACGACGGAAAGGATGAGGCGCGTGAGGCTCGGGAGGGTTGGGCAAGAGGAACGGGATTCTACAGGATCCTAACCTAGGCGATACCATGTCAGAAACTGAATTGTCTGTTCATTGATGTGGGTTGGGGTACATATAGCAAACCCTAATATTTGTACCCCCTAAGACAAGCCTCACTACATGCTACAACATTTGACACCTGCGCGGCCATAGGACGTACACAGCTCCCGTGACTCTAGATCGAGTACAGGTTTATACTGTACATTTGGCAGTACTGTTGGTGTTTGTACAGTTTGCAAATAGCTTCGCCTGAGAGAAACAAGCAAGCACTTGGCGAACAGTTTGGAGAACATTTGAAGAACAAACACTCTCCGAAAGAAATATTCAGCAAGCGATGTGGGCACTCATAGCAGCGAACGCGAAAGTCGTCACCCTACTCAAATTGCGAGTATTACTATAAGGAAGAGGCTACGATTGCCAATTTCTTTATGCTGGCTGAGGCAACGTCTTGTCAACTCCCAAACCCGCCGTTTCGACTAATTAGTTAGGATCAGAGTTCGCTATGGCGAAATTTCAGGAGCCTATTTGCATTTCGCAGATTCGCCGTCCATCTTACCGGACGGGCTCCCGGCGTTTGCATTCGGCGCGCCCCCCGTCTCCCCTCCGAACCAACATCGCACAAACGGCGAGCCCGTTTGTGCATCTTCGACGGGCCCTCATTTACGCACTCGACGGGCACTCTCACACTCTGCGCCCCGCACTCTCACACTCTGCGCCCCGCACTCTCACACTCTGCGACGGGCGTCATAAGTCGATCTTTAGTCGACTCAAAATCGCGCCCGGATTCTCACACTCTGCGACGGGCGCCATAAGTCGATTTTTAGTCGACTCAAAATCGCGTCCGGACTCTCACACTCAGCGACGGGCTCGCATTCACGAACTCGAAGGGGGCGGAATCACGCACTTTTCGCGCCCGGGTTCTGACACTCGACGCACCCGCTTTCTTGCCCTTCGTCTTCTGCATATTCCTCCCTGCATACCCACAGTTTCCCCCAGCAATTTCCACAGCAGCACCCCTCCTTTCCCCCAGTTACCACTCTTCTTGCCCGCTGTTTACCCACGGATTGCCAGCAGTAGCCCCTCTCCTTTCCCCCACTTCGTCCCCTCCTTTCCCCCCCTGCTTCCCCTCCTTTCCCCCCCCTGCATCCCCTCCTCTCTCCCCCCCGCTTCCCCTCCCTTCCCCTCTTGCTTCCCCTCCTTTCCGCTCTGCTTCCCCTCGGTTTCACCCCTCCTTCCCTTTTCCCCTCTCTTTCCCCTGCTTCCCCCCCCTGCATTCCCTCCTTTTCCCCCCTGCTTCCCCTTGTTTTCCCCCACTGCCTTTGAAAGGCTCCATTTTTGCCTTGGCTGCTGACCTGGTTGCCTCCCCTTTGCCTGCTAACCTTTTGAAGTCCCCCCTCCCCCCCCCCCTCCAACCTAACCCCAGGCTGCCGTCCACATAAGCCCCCTGGCTGCTGCCAAATTGGCACAGAAATCAACAGCTTTTGCATGAAATCAACGCTCTAGACATGGACCAGAGAAGTAGTCTTTATAGCAGCCAGAGGGCCAAGGGTTTTGTGTTCTGACCATTTGTGTGAATCTCCACCAGCGAATACTGACCAAGTGAAGGGGCACAACCCGGATATACCCCCATGGGGGGCAATAATAAAACAGGTTTTTTTAGAGGGGTGGGCTTATAATCGAGTAAATTTATAAGCGCCGGCGCTTATAAAATGACATATACGTTTTTTTATATTTTTTAACACCAACCTGTAGATCTCTTGCTTGCCTTTTCAATCGAGTTGAAGTTACATGGGGTTGTCTGTGAAATTCTCGCGCGCGCAGGCAGATACACCCAATCTGACTCACATCCAGCTCCTGACAGCTCCTGCTGACTGGACCCGCATCCAGTGCAGGGTCCGAATGTGAAGGGAACCAAATCTGCAACACATCCGCCTGCTAAAGTAAAAAACGTTACAGCGTTTTGAACACATTTCAAAATTTATAATAAAACAAGTTTTTTCAGGGGGTGCGCTTATAGTCGAGCAGGGGATATAAGTGCCACACGCCAATTAAAAGCGCCAGGCGCTTATCCGAGGGTGGCGCTTATATCCGGAGTATGACGGTATCACCAATGGACCTTGTGTTTTCTGTTCTGTTCTTTTATTATTAGTATTGTGTGTGACAACAGTAGTAATACCGTAAGCCCACGGATAGAAGCGCAGGCCTCGGATAAGCGCCGGCGCTTATAAAAGGATGAGGGCGCTTATATCCGCTCCTCGATTATAAGCGCATGCTTCAAGCCTTGCGGATTACAAGCGCACCTCTACTACCTTACACATTATAAGCGCCACCATTTAAAAATTAGATTTTTTAGTTTTAAGCTGTTACATTTAGTATCCTACTGCTATACTACGTTTTCTCTAAATATCCGACTACATCTTCTCATTTTCTACATTTTCTACCACATTTTCACGTCCTACACATTTCTACTCTACCTACACAACCTAGGCATCCTCCTCATCAGTGGCAATGCCTTCGTCGGCGGTCTCACCGTCCGACTCTGGCTCGTCTACGTTGTTGCAGCAGAATCCATCTGCTGCAATCTCGTCGTCAAGATCCACTTCGCCTTTGACGGCGTCCCGCCGGTGCTGCAGGCAGAGACCGTCCTGAGACCCGTCCAAGGCGTTACTGATGCCGCAGGTCAGAAACGAGCGCTCAATCAACTCCTTGGGCACCGCCTTCAATGTCTTGGAGATCTGTCAGAATGTTATTGTTCTCTAGCCTGCAGTGGGGTACTCTATAGCGAGTACAACCCCTTAGGGTTTCCTATATGTATCCTGCTGCTTTCTAGTGAACACCCTCCTTTGCTTATTCTCTCTTGCCTAGCTAGGGCTTACCTAGCTAAGGCTCCTACTTGTGCTTACTATCTCAACATGCTATCATAGCATCTACGCTCCTGGCCTGTGGGCCCACCTAACTGCTTCCGCTGCTACTCTGTGTGTTGCACGCCCCGTGGCGTGCGACGGATTTCTCTTCCCGCCGCGCGCTCGGAGCGTGCGGCGGTTTTCTGCCCGCCGTGCGCCCCGAGGCGCGCGGCGGTTTTCTGCCCGCCGTGCGCCCCGGGGCGTGCGGCGGTTCTCTGCCCGCCGTGCGCCCCGAGGCGCGCGGCGGCCTTCTGCCCCGTCGGTCCGCGCGTCGCCCCCGGGGGGCGCTTCGACGGGCTACGGGGACCAGCCCGTCGTCCCCCGTCGCCCGTCCTGGCCAGCGCGGGCTGCGCTAGCCCCGAGCGCGGCCCGTACGGGCTGCGCCAGGCCCGCGCGCGGCCCGTACGGGCTGCGCCAGGCCCGCGCGCGGCTCGGGCCGCCTGCGCGCGGTTCGTCGGGCTGTGCCAGGCCCGTGGGCGGCCCGTTCCTCTCTGTCCCTGAGCTGTTCGCTGTCCCCCGTGCTTCTGACGGTGCCCCACCCCTGCTGCTGCCCGTTCTCCTGAATTAGGGTTTGGGGGTGAGGAGTGTGGGGGTGGCGGTTGTGTGTTACTCCCCTTGCTCCTCCTCCTCCCTGGTCTCCCACTGCTGCAGCTGCCGCTGAGGGGGGTGGGTGTGTGGGAGCCTAGGGTTTAGGGTTTAAGGGGGGTGCCGTGGGAGTGGAGCTAGGGTTCAGCAGGGGGTTTGTGTCGAGGGTGTGGGGCAGTTGGAGGAGGTTGTGTGAACGTAGCTGTCGTGTCGCCTGCAGCGCCTGTAGTCCGTCGCCCTTGCTTCGGTAGCCAGTGAGCCTGTTGCACCAGTCGCCAGTGGGTCCGTTACTCCTGCCGCTCGTCTATAGCCGCGGAGCCAGTCACTCCAGTAGTCCGTCGCCCTTGCTTCGGTAGCCACTGAGTCAGCCGCTCCTGTGCCCGTGCCTCTGCAGCTTCAGTCGTTGCCTCGCATCTTCTCTCCCTCCACAGTTCCTCCTCCTCCTCACTTGCCCGCTGTGATTAACTCTAGCTTTGCTTACTATTGTGAACTCCTGCTATACCTGCTCTAGGACTACTTGCTTTGCTGATTATACCTTACTTTGACTATGGGGGTGTGTCAGAATGTTATTGTTCTCTAGCCTGCAGTGGGATACTCTATAGCGAGTACAACTCCTTAGGGTTTCCTATATGTATCCTGCTGCTTTCTAGTGAGCACCCTCCTTTGCTTATTCTCTCTTGCCTAGCTAGGGCTTACCTAGCTAAGGCTCCTACTATCTCAATAAGATCCACTTGAGCGTCAGCTCTGGTGGTGGCTTGCGGATGTTGCTTGCCACACGTAGAAAGATTCATCAGTTAGAACAGGGTCAATAATTGAAAAACAATCAGTCCTAAATCTTAAATCTCACCTCTTTCAGTCAGGCAGTCAACACCCTCGCTCTCGAACCATTCCTGGTACTGTTGTCGCACAGCTGCTTTGAAGGAGCGGTTCACCGCGACGTCCAACGGCTGCACCTCCGATGTGCAGCCAGCTGGTATGACGGCCGGCACGATACGCAGCTCGCCGAATTTCGCCCTCACTTGATCACTCAGGTGCCCGCGGTAGGAGTCAAGCACCAGCATCGCCCTCCTGCTGCGCACTCCGAACCTCGGGTTGACGTACGGGCCCACCGTACTGTCGAGCCACGCGAGGACGCCGTCCGCGTCCATCCAACCGTTGGGATGTGCGGCGACCACGACATCTGCACATCCGCACAACATTGAGATTGACACCAGTAAAAAAAAACAAAACATGCAAATCCTACCGGGACTGCACAAGCTGCTCGGCTTACCGGAGGGGAAATTCCCCTTTGGAACCGTCTTGCGCTTAAAGAACACCCAGGGCTTGAGCTTCTCGCCGCTGGCGATGCAGGCGAGCATCACCGTCACGCGTTCCTTTTGATAGCCGCCGCTGCGGATGGGCACGGAGCGGACCCCCACCTCCTCGACAGTGCGTTCAGCTGGCATTTCGAGCCAGAGCGGGGTCTGATCCGCATTAATGATCCAGCGGTTGTCGATTCCGTACTGTCGGCGGGTGTGTCGCACGAACTTCCAGAATTTCCGCACCTGCGTCTCGCACTCTGGAAGGGACGGGGAGGCAGAAACCATAAAAAAACATTAGCACATCGACCGGTTGGCAAAGGGGATAAACAAGAGCGAAGACAACAACACCCACTCACCGGAGGATAGTTTCTGGCCGACACGGGTCTTCGCTCGGGTAGTGAGATTCCAGCGGCGCCGAAAACGCTCGGTCCACCTCTGAGATCCCGCCCACTTTACCTCAGGATGCAGGCTCTTCATCACCTCTCGCGACTACTGCTGCAGGCGGCCGACCAACACTGCGAGGCACTTTTTTCGGGCGGCAAGTACTCGTGAGTAGACCTGGATCTCCATGTCGCGGTACCATGACGACCGACCACGCCCGTGAAGACGCTTGCGAGCCCCATGCGCGCCCTCCAGCTCACCCTTCCGCGATTTCCATTCTGCCAGGGACTTTCGGGAGATACCAGAGTCGCGCGCCATCTTCCGCACACTCACAGCACCGGACTCCAGATGTGAAATCCAGTGCAGCTTCTCCTGAGAAGTATAGGAGTGCCGCTTGTGCCTTGAGCGCCTGCTCTTGGGAGACGGGGGGCGGGAATCACGATTCTGGGTGCAGGGGTGGGGCCTTTTTTTATTGGGCGGGGGAAAACTTGGGACAGGCAAGTCCTCGGGAAGACCGTCGGCCGCCCACCACTCAACATCGTCTTCGGCACCGGTGGCGGATTCGTCGTGCGGGCAGTCTTCCGGGTCTCCCCAACGTGGCGAAAGACCGGGACCGGTTTCATCTTCGTCGCTGCGCTCGGGCTCGTGCTCGGGCTCGGAGATGTACGCATTGAAAACAGAGTAGCCGCGAGGGAGAAGCTGCAGAATGGGCACACCGTTGATGACGACGTTAGGCGGAGCGGGAGGAGCAGGAGGCGCTGGAGGTGCAGGAGGCGCAGGAGGAGCAGGAGGCGCAGGAGGAGCAGGAGGTATTGGCGCTGGACGACTCTGCCACTGGGAGTAATCGGGAGCTTTGTCAGCAGCACCTCGACGCCTAAAGAGGAAATGGGTGCCTGGTAGGCCCGCCATGGCTAAGGCAGGCCGATGGGAAACAAGAAATCTGAAAAAAACAGGGAGAATGACGCCTGTTTGAAACCCTTGCCCGAGACCCCTCCAACTTCGCGGCCCGGGTTCCTCTGCAGGCTAAGGGGACAAACAGTCAAGATCTCCCCGCAGAGGAGCTGATGTGGTGAGGTCCAAGCGTTGTTGGCAAGGAATCTTGCCGCATATGCCCCGTTTGTGGTTGTACTGCGTCGTGGCTAGCACGACAGTCGGCCCTGATTGGGCAGTCGCACACTAAACTGCGTGTGCGTTGGCATGGGCCAGATTCGGTACGATGAATCTGGCCAGGCGAGCAAGGCGTGGCGGGCGTGATTCCACGCCTTGTTG